GTAATATCAATGAAGTATTATATTTTCTCTGCTTACCCTTGCTTCCTATCCCATTAACAGTGATTATCCCTTCAACAGCCACACGACTCCAATCGGTGAAAACATCAAGGACCTGTGAGGCGGATCACGAGTACACGAGTACATCGTGAGCCCACGTGATGTACTCGTGAGTACATCACGAGTACATCACGACGACGACGAGAAGATCTTCCTTCCCTCAGGCCGGCGAGATTCGGAGGAAGACTCAGTGTCTAATGAAACGGCTTGATACCTGCTTAGCCGTAGGCCTCCTGGTAGGATCCCGTGATAGCATCCATCGACAGAGGTCAGTGAGTGGCCGAGGGTGCCGTTCTGATGCTTTGGCATCTATATGGTATCTGTACTTGACGGCATATATGAGTGTCGATGCATTATCATCATCATTACTTAGCATTGGAGATGGCCAACACTGACTGGTCTTGGAAAGGGTGCCGATAGCAGATAAGTGTAAATAATATACCTGACGATGTTGATCGATGGTAGTAGGAGGAGGAAGGTGCCCTTCCTCCTCCTCGAGTAGCCTACATCCACACATCCATATATCGGACTGTGTTGTGATTGGGAGATGAGTATAGAGGTCTACCATCTCAGGGGAACGATACATTAATGTGGTATACCGCTGTATGTCCTCATCAAGAGTGGCCATCTGGGACTTGGACAAAGCACTAGGATGAGGATACTCTCGAGTAGTAGCACTGCCGAAGTCACAGAGGAGATATGAATCGCTTGCAGTCTTGTACAGGACGTTCTCGACTTTGAGGTCTCTGTGCTGAATTGGGGGAGATTGGGTATGCAAAATATTCACAGCGGACATCAGATCCTTCATAACCTTAACCTAACAAGAGAAGTATTCATGAATACAGTTGATCATACTATGGAGTTACAATGGTGGCAGTAGGTAGAATACCCTTGTGACGGTCCAAGAGGTCCAGGAGATGACCACCATCACAGTACTCCAACAATAGAGATACTTCTTGGGAGCCGGGCTGTTCACCTGTAAGAGGTTAAAACTACCAAAGCAGTAGAGGTGAATACCTGGTTCGGTAATATGACCGTAACAGTTGACTATGTTGGGCTGGCCGGATAAGGACTCCAGGATCTTACACTCATGCAGGGCCATCTGGTATCGGGTCCTATCCTAAAATATCATCATGATAACCGACACAGGTGGTGCTCTACTACTACGACCTACTGTACATTTCATTTTCTTCATAGCAAATGTCTGACTACTGTTAACGTCTCTCATGAGGCTGACATATGCGAAGCCACCTGATAGTAAACATACTTGTCATCAAGGTGCAGTGACTTCATATGCTACCCTCAGACAATGGCTTCTCCTCAACTACTTCACGGTCACCAATCTTATATACACGGCTGGGGGTCTTCTTGCCTTTCACCTGTCAGATGATAATGCTAGAGTAAGGTACCCCCTTATGCCACTTTGGTGTCCCCTCCATTCTTTGTGGTGGTGAATGCCTCGACGAGTCGGTTCATGGGATAGTTGTTATAATGATGATGAATTCAACGTGAAGGAGACAGTTGTACAAAAATGGGCTGCGATGACACCGATGCGGATCTTATATCGATCTGTATAACCCCAGACTGCCCTAACGCAAGTCAGCATTCGAAGTGTCACCAACTCATCGCGATTCTCCCACTCACTGCATGATACTGTGGTGTTCTAATGAAATGACCATCGTCTAGGGCGTGTGTATACGGTTTGAG